CCCCGCGGCCGCGTGTGAGCGGCAGCCCCCCGCCTGGCTCGGGCGCCAGCCCCCTGCTGCCTGCCAGCCCCGTGGCCTGCTGTGAGCGGCAGCGCCCCGCCTGGCTCGGGAGCCTGCCCCCTGCTTACTGCCTGCACCGTGGCCTGCTGTGAGCGGCAGCGCCCCGCCTGGCTCGGGAGCCTGCCCCCTGCTTACTGCCTGCACCGTGGCCTGCTGTGAGCGGCAGCGCCCCGCCTGGCTCGGGAGCCTGCCCCCTGCTTACTGCCTGCACCGTGGCCTGCTGTGAGCGGCAGCGCCCCGCCTGGCTCGGGAGCCTGCCCCCTGCTTACTGCCTGCACCGTGGCCTGCTGTGAGCGGCAGCGCCCCGCCTGGCTCGGGAGCCTGCCCCCTGCTTACTGCCTGCACCGTGGCCTGCTGTGAGCGGCAGCGCCCCGCCTGGCTCGGGAGCCTGCCCCCTGCTTACTGCCTGCACCGTGGCCTGCTGTGAGCGGCAGCGCCCCGCCTGGCTCGGGAGCCTGCCCCCTGCTTACTGCCTGCACCGTGGCCTGCTGTGAGCGGCAGCGCCCCGCCTGGCTCGGGAGCCTGCCCCCTGCTTACTGCCTGCACCGTGGCCTGCTGTGAGCGGCAGCGCCCCGCCTGGCTCGGGAGCCTGCCCCCTGCTTACTGCCTGCACCGTGGCCTGCTGTGAGCGGCAGCGCCCCGCCTGGCTCGGGAGCCTGCCCCCTGCTTACTGCCTGCACCGTGGCCTGCTGTGAGCGGCAGCGCCCCGCCTGGCTCGGGAGCCTGCCCCCTGCTTACTGCCTGCACCGTGGCCTGCTGTGAGCGGCAGCGCCCCGCCTGGCTCGGGAGCCTGCCCCCTGCTTACTGCCTGCACCGTGGCCTGCTGTGAGCGGCAGCGCCCCGCCTGGCTCGGGAGCCTGCCCCCTGCTTACTGCCTGCACCGTGGCCTGCTGTGAGCGGCAGCGCCCCGCCTGGCTCGGGAGCCTGCCCCCTGCTTACTGCCTGCACCGCTCAGCTGCTCTCAATGGCGCTCCTGTTTGCATTTCAGCAGCATCTGCCCCAGTGAGACGGGACCGACTGCTGCCCTCGCGAGCTGGCAGCCTGACCAGACAGGGCCGCAGTGGGCAGGAGAAAGGGAAGTGATTTGCCCAGCCCACCCAGCAGGCCACTGCCACTGCCAGGCCGGTGCCCTACCCACTAGACTTTGCTGCTGCTTTACTTGTTAGCTGCATTGGGGTAGTTCCCAGAGGCTGCAGCCAGGTTTGGGGCTGGCCTGTGCACCGACGAGCAGTCCCTCCTGTGCACACCTGGCAAACTCCCCAGTCCCCCCCATCATTGTAAAGGGAATTGGTGTTTTGGATTAATATCCCTTCCCTGCGTCGGCACATTTGTTTTCAAGTGAGATAGGGAGTAAAACGAGGAGTGCACACGAGCGAGGGAATAATGCAAGAGGGGACTGTCAGAGCCAAGTGCCTCCTCTCGTGAGGCTGGCTGGGTCCGTGTGGCAGAGAAAAGCAAAGTGATGAGAGGAGGGAGGGCAAGATCTGGGAAAAGAAGGGGAGCTGATGCTCGGCATAGAGTGGTGCCAGCTAGTGCCAGGCCAATGCCATCAGTCTGCAGGTGTCTCTGGGCCTGTTTCATTCGCGTCGTGCAGCCACCTGTCTTGGAAACAACTCCAGAGATGCGGCCACGTGCCTGGCTGGTATAAACTGGCATTCCTCCCCTGGCAGCGATGGGCACAGTGACGCTTCTGCCAGCAGCAACGCGTCCGGGCTGCAGTCCTGGGGAGCTGATCCTGCCCACGGCGATGCTCTCCCAAGCGCTGCCGCGTCACGTAGAATCTGCGGAGACCTTAGATGGGGCATCCAGGCCAGGATCAGCCCCAACTCGATCATCCCAGCCAGGGCTTTGTCAAGCTTGGCCTCAGAAACCTCTAGGGATGGAGATTCCGCCTCCTCCCTAGGGAACCCAGCCCAGCGCTTCCCCACCTCCCGGGGAAATAGGTCTTCCCCAATCACTTGATCTCTGGATGAGTTTTCAGTGCCGAGACGTGGGCTCTTGTGAATCGCTGAGGGTGGAATTCACCCTGTGCCCAGGGCCAGCGGCAGCGGCGTCACCAGTTCTGGAGCTCTCGGAAGAGGGCTCCCCGCTGTGGGTGCTCTGGATTCGGAGGCCCCAGTAGGGAGAATTCTGGCTGGAACATGAGACCCCGGTAGTGAGCCCCAAAACACGCCTCTCAAGGCTGCTGATTTCTGGACCGCTCCAGAGAAGACAACGTCTGGCTCCCCACCCAGCAATTCCTGGCCCTCTAGTGCCTGTGCGAGACGCACTCGCTCGGCAGGCAGGCGCAGCGCCGCAGTGTCCAGGAACCTGCACCTCTGAGGGTGCTTTCAGTGCTGCAGGGAGCTGTGCAAAGGCGCAGCTGGGTTCTGCTCCTGCTGGATTGCTAGGCTGGTTCCAGCTCAGCCAGCAGAACCCGGTCTGTGTCCAGATCCAGGTGGAGAACCCCCCCCCCCGGAATACAGGGCAAGGCGCCCCTGGAATAGGGTTGCCAACCCTCCTGGCTTTGCTGGGAGTCTCCCAGAGTTGGACTCGCTCTCCCAGAGGCTGCTGAAGACGAAAGGGGAGATTTTAAACTAGGGATGTGAGAGTTTAACCTGTTAGCTAATGCTTATTGGTTCCAGGTATCGGTTAAACGCCCGGCTGCTCCTGGGACCCCCTCCAGCCCGCAGTCTGTGGCCGGGAGGCATTTGAAACTCTCCTGAGCAGTTCCACAAGTACCCATCTTATAGGGAACATTGCCTTCAGCTCCCATTGGCTGGGGACTGTGGCCAATGGAAGACGTGGGGCGGAGCCTCCTCCTCTCCAGGTGCCACAGGGATATCCTGACAGCTCCCGGGAGCCTGCCTTAGCCCCGCTGCACCACTGCCTGGGAGCCGCCTGAGCCAAGGGCTGTCTGGACAGAGCCTGCACCGCGCACCCTCGCCTGCTTCCCACCCTGCTGCCCCAGCCTGGCGAAAGTGAGTGAGGATGAGGGAGAGCGAGTGATGGAGGGAAGTGGGGTGGAGGGTACAGGGTGGGGCAGGAGCGGGCCCTTAGGGAAGAGGCAGGCCAAGGGTGTTAGGGCTTTTGTGATTAGACAGTTGGCAACCCTAGCTGATCTGCAGGGCGTAGCCTCGCTCCAGGGTGGCGCTGAGTGCTCTGTCTCAGGAAAGCACTGATGCACATGCCTACCTTTAACCGTGTTTCCCTGGCTCAGCCTGGGTGCACTGCATTGCAGCCTGAGCCCCAGGAGCGTCGCTTTAGAGAGGGTCAGTGCGTCAGAAAGAAAGAGCTCTGTTGCCGACAGGTGGCAGCCATTGGTTAAACGGTGAAGCAGTGATTTCTGGTTAGAGGCTGCAGCCCCTGGGCATTGCAGCCTGAGCCCCAGGAGCGTCGCTTTAGAGAGGGTCAGTGCGTCAGAAAGAAAGAGCTCTGTTGCCGACAGGTGGCAGCCATTGGTTAAACGGTGAAGCAGTGATTTCTGGTTAGAGGCTGCAGACACTGGGCCCTATCCCTCATCCTGACTGTTGCTCCCCTCGTCCCGCCGCTC